TAACAGGTTGAGAAGGTTTCAGCTAAAGTTGAATCCTGCTAAATGTACATTCAGTGCCAAATCAAAAAAACTATTGGGCTTTGTGGTTAGTGAAAGAGGAATCGAAGTGGGCCCAGATAAGATACAAGCCATCCATAACTTATCTCTGTCTCGTACCTCAAAAGAAGTGCGAGGTTTCCTAGAGAGATTAAACTATATTGCTCGTTTCATCTCTCAACTCACCTACAAGTGCGATCTCATTTTCAAGCTTCTTAGAAAACATGATCCAGGAGAATGGAATGATGAATGCCAAGAAGCTTTTGACAAAATCAAAGAGTACTTATCAAATCTGCCCATATTGGTGCCACCTATTCCAAGAAAGCTTTTGCTTTTATACTTAATAGTACATGAAAAATCAATGGGATGTGTGCTGGGGCAAAAAGATGAAACTAACAGAAAAAAAATGAGCAATTTACAACTTGAGTAAGAAGTTTACTGATTATGAGTTAAAGTACTCACCATTAGAGAAGATATGTTGTGCATTAGCTTGGACAGCTCAACGGCTTAGACAATACATGCTCTATCACACTACTTGGCTCATAGCAAAGTTAGATCCCATTAAGTATATCTTTGAGAAGCCATCATTGATAGGAAGAATAGCACGATGGCAAGTTATACTTTTAGAATATGATATTGTTTATGTGAATCAAAAGGCTATAAAAGGAAGTGCAATAGCTAAATTCCTTGCTGATTGTGCAGTCGAAGATTATGAGCCAATGAAATTAGAGTTTCCTAATGAGGATGTGATGGCCATTAAAGAAAATGAACCTATTGAAAAATCTTGGAGGATGTATTTTGATGGAGCTGCTAACGCTTTAGGCTATGGTATTGGGGTAATTTTGATATCTCCTAATGGGCACTATTATCCCATCACAGCTAGGTTAAATTTCAATTACACAAATAATGTGGCCGAATATGAGGCCTGTGTTATGGGTCTGCAAGTAGCAATTGAAAAGAAGATCAAAGTGTTAGATGTGTTTGAAGATTTAACCCTAGTCATTTATCAGTTACGAGGTGAATGAGAGACAAGAGATTCTAAGTTGATCCGGTACCATAAATATATCTCTGAGTTGGTCAAACAATTTGAAGAAATTCAGTTTGAACATTTGCCCAGAGAGGAAAACCAAATTGCTGATGCACTGGCTACTCTAGCTGCAATGATCAAAATAGATACAAATACTGAGATTTAACCAATTAAATTGGATGTGAAAGATGTACTAGCACATTATTCAAGTGTCGAAGAAGAAGTTGATGGGAGGCCATGGTATCATGATATTATGCAACATATTAAAAGTCAACAATACCCGAAACATGCGACAAAAAATGATAAAAGGACTATCAGAAGATTAGCTATGAGTTTTTTTCTGGATGGAGATGTTCTCTACAAAAAAGGTCCATATCAAGTACTTTTAATATGTGTGAATGCAGATGAAGCAAAGAGGATTATTGAAGAAGTACATGATGGAGTCTGTGGGACACACGCAAATGGTCATATGATGGCTAGACAAATCATTAGAGCTGGCTATTATTGGTTGACAATGAAGGACAACTGTATTGATTATGTTAGGAGATACCATAAGTGTCAAATTTATGCTGACAAAATTCACGCTTTATCATCAGCATTACATATTCTGGCTCCTTCATGGCCATTTTTTATGTGGGGCATGGATGTCATTGATCCCATCACTCCAAGAGCTTTGAATGGACATAGATTCATCTTTGTAATGATTGATTACTTCACAAAATAGGTAGAAGCTACATCGTATGCTAGTGTGACCTAATCTATGGTATGCAAATTCATAAAAAAAAGAGATAATATGCAGATATGGGCTTTTCGAGACAATTATTTCTGACAAAACCAAAAATTTGAACAGCAAAATAATGAATGAAGTGTGCACTCAGTTCAAGATCCGTCATCATAATTCTGCATCATATCATCTGAAAATGAACGAGGCAATGGAGGCTACAAACAAGAATATCAAAAGAATCCTGAAAAAATGATTGATACTTATAAAGATTGACATGAGAAGTTACCTTTTACCTTGCATGCTTATAGAATATTAGTCCGAATATCTATTGGGGCCACCCCGTTCTCTTTGGTATATTGAATGAAAGTTGTGCTACTAATCGAAGTGAAAACTTTTTTGTTAAGAGTCCTGATGGAGGTAGAGTTAGAGGAAGCAAAATGAATTCGAAACCGTTACAACACCGAGGACCAGATCTGCTTGCCCTTACACATTGGATTTCTCCACTCCTTTGGCCTCTGGATAATAAGGCAGATAGTCTTCTGTATATAATAGAAATAAATATGGTAGCAAGGGATCACCCTGTCTAGTCAGATTGATGTGGAGGGTGACGCAAGGGAAATTATCAACCAAGTAAAAAGGAAAGGTAGCAGGAACATGTCCTATGTTAGTACCCTCATAAGAGAGGTAAAGAGTAGATTGCAGAGGTTCACACATGAGAAAGCATGTATGTCAACAGAGAGGGAAACAGGGCGGCCCATTGCACGGCGAAATTAGCTTTGAGGGGAAAGGAAACGAGGATATGGTCCGAGGATTTCCCAAATATTTTAATTGTCACTTGTGAACAAGACAGAATTGGATTCAAGTAATGAAGTCCTATTTTATTTCGAAAAAAAAAAAAATCAGTTGACTTGATAATGTAAAGATGCTTGCTTGCGTTCTCTCCCTTTGTATTTTAATTGTTTTATTATCTGCAGTCTATAACTCTAAAGTTGTCAATTATTTGCGGGTTATAAATGCATGGATGTAGGCATGGAAGCACTTAAGAAAATTTGGCTATGGTTTTGTAAATACATTCCATCCCACTTAAATGAGCAAGTATATAAATTTCCTACACCAACCTAGAAATCAAGTTAATATAAGTTTTAAACCTTAGATTACATTCAAAATTATTTTTATTTATTTAGGAATTTTAATTGTCCTAATATATTTTTGGACATTGTTTACTCATTTAGAATATCTAATTGTTTTAATATATTTTAAGATAAATGGATTGTTAATGATGATGTAATAAATAAATTTTTTTAATATGTTAATTTTCTTTCAAAATGAATTTTTTCTTTTCTTCAACCATGAAATTTTAATCAATTTTTAATTTTATTAATAATAAATATTTAAATTATTATTTTTTTGATAATTTATTTTTTTGTCAAAATAAAAATTCACATGAATATATCTCAACTATATTTTGTGCAACAGTAATACTGGTTATTCAACGAAATGAATGTCGTTTTATAATGACTTTTGATAATAATATTAGTCATTCTTAAAGTTATAACTAAAAATTTGTTTAATATTTGTATGGACACAAATATTGTTGTGGTAAGATTATATGCAATGATATTATTGGTTATTAAATTTCCTTAAGTCGTTGTAAAAAAATTAGAAACAACAAATTTGTGGTTTTGAAAAATCCTTTGGCAACGATTATTGTTGTTTTTAAACTAATTATTATAGTGACAAAATAATTGTTGCCAAAGTGATTTGTAACAAAAATATTGCTTTGCAATATATATATATATATATATATATAGGCAACCAAAATAATATTGATATGTAAAAGTTTTGGTAACAAAAATTGTGGTTGCTAAACGAATTTTGAGTTAAATATAAAAATGACCCTTGTACTAATACTAACAATTTCTACAAGTTTAGTATTTAAAAAAATAAAATTATCAGTTTAATATTTCAACTTTCATTTCATAATCCACTTTAGTGCTTGAGACTATCATCATCTGTCAACTTATTGATGAGACATGAATATCAAAAGTTAAGTTAACATCACATTATCAATTGTCACATCAATATTAAATATTTTTTTAATTGAAAATAAAAAAAATTTAATTTTTTTTTTGAAAAATCTAAAAATTTTATAAAAACTTATAAAAAAAACTTTAAAATTCTGAAATTTTTTCAATTTTGAATCTTTCAATTTTAATTTCTTTATATATTTTTTGAATTTTTTTAGATTTTTTATTTTTATTTTATTTTTAAATTTTTTTTCTGAAATTTTTAAATTTTTTATAACTTTTTAGAATGTTTCATTTTTGGAAATTTTTTATTTTTAAAATTTTTTAGAATTTTTTAAAATTTTCATATTTCTTTTCAAAAGATTTTAGATTTTTTAATTTTCAGTTCTTTTTAAGTTTTTGTGAATTTTTAAATTTTGAAAAAAATTGTATTTTTATTAAAAATTTCATTTCTTTAGATTTTTTTAGAATTGTTTTTAATTTTTTGGATCTTTTATTATATTTTTTATATTTTTTGAATTTTCATAATTTTCATAATTTTTTTTAAATTTTTTAAAAATTTTAAAAATTTTCGGACTTTTTAATTTTTTATAATTTCTTAAAATATTTCATAATTTTTTAAAAGTTTTTAGAATTTTCTTAAATTTTTCTTTCTAAGGTTGATGCCATTATTGATGATGAGACATTAATTGAAATTTTTAATACATGTTAATATCTTTTTAAATATTCATGACATGTTAGCAAGTTGATTAATGATGTTAGTCAAATGTACAAAAATTGATGATAGAATGAAAGTTAAAGTATTAAACTTATAATTTTAGTTTTTTAGGTACTTAGTTGACAGAAAATATATAGTACAATGGTCATTTTTATATTTAACCCAAAATTTTTTTGACAATTATATTAAATCATTATTTAAATATAATTTATTTATCAACAAGAAAAAATCATTGTAAAAATTATTTTATAAAAATTTTTTTCATATAATGAAAATTGTTGTGTATACTTTTAATAACAGAGGTAATAACATTGACTTGACAACAATTTTTTTATCTTTGCGAAAAAAGTCTAAAAATTTTACTTCGACATTAAGTGTCAGTAAACAACTTTTTCGAGTAGTGTAGGTGATATGCTCCTTGCATTTTGAAGAGTTGTTGAGAAAAAAACATAAGGGAAACAGGTTTCAAGTAACGAAGTAGCCAGGCCATATATAAATAGTTGCATAAATTAAATTATAGAGAATGAAAAAGAAAGAAATTCAGTACCGAGTTGCTCAAAGCTGCCGTCCTCTTGCTTTTAAGCAGCACAAAGCTATCCAAGAATTCGGCATGGCGATGTTGGTACTGGAAGTCCTTGAAGCATCTAACGCAAACATCGAACGTGCAATCGTCACGCTCAAAAAATTTTACACAGGTAAAGTACGTTGACGTTATGAATTTGCCGCATCGTCCATTGCAAAATGGCCTATCACTGTTGATTATGTAGTATACAGTCATAACATCCCAGAAGCTAAGTTTTCCCGAACCATCTTTGTTCAACAGATTGAAGAACTCCCCATTCATCATCCGGAATTGTTTTATTTCATGCATCATCGCCATGAAATTCTCGCTTCTTACTTTGTTATCTCTATTTGGTTTCATGTCGTTAAAAAATCTATCTGCCTCTTTCTTCATTTCCTGCGGAACTGATTTATAATATGATTTCGCTGCCGCTCTTAACTCATCCATTACTTTCAGGAGAGCCAACTTTTTGTTTTTTTGTTTTTTTTCTAATTTGGTTATGATTGAAAAAAATTCGAACCTTAATTATATAGGAACCGATCCATTTGTCTTCGTCAATGCTAAGATATTAATTCTTTTTGGATTGGAGACAAAAGGGTGGTTGAAAGCACCATGCCCCCGCCGCGAAATTTCTAGGTATATAAAAATTTATGAATTTATATTTGTTATATCGTTAATATATAAATTTTATATACTATCAATTAATTAAATAATATTATTTTATTAATTAATAAATATCATCTTTTGATATAAATATATAAAATAAATGTTTTATTTCAAAAAATTTATTAATTAATAAAATAAAATCATTTGATTTATTTTATTAATAAAATGATATAATTTAATTTATTAATAATATAAAAATTTATATGATAATAATACATCAAATATAAATTTAAAATTTATATACGCTTGAAAAGTTAAAAGAATTTCATTATTGATGAAAAAGTCATGTTCTTAAATTTATATACAGTAAAACTTTATTTAAAATTTTGACTTAAGGGTCAACATGCGCGCAGATGATTGTAGTGGTCCATGTCCAACTACTTTTTTATATATTTATATATAGTGAAAATTGATTGAAAATTTTGACTCAAGGTCAGCATGCAAGTGATCCTCGTCGTGTCCTTTCAATGAGCTGGACAACACAGAGAAAGGAGTCTAATAATCAAAAGCATTTTATGAATTTGCCGCATCGTCCATCGCAAAATGGCTTTTCACTTTTGATTATGTAGTATATACGACGTATTTGATAAAAAATTTAATTATTGATTTATATTAATTTTATTTATATTTTAAATAATTATATTTAAATAAAAAATTATTATATAATAAATAATTATAATTATTTAAATATAAATATATTATTATTCATAAAAATCATAATTATACCAAAAAATAACAATCATCTAAATAAAAATTTATATTTGTTTATTCATTATAAATAAATTTTTTTAGTATAATCATTTTTACTATTTCTAATTGTAGAATTTAAAATTTTATTGTATCATAAAGATATAATTACCTTTTAAAAAAAATTCTTTATGGCTCAAAGCCAAATTTTTTTTTTTATTTCTCTTCTCTTATTTATTTTTTCTAATAATTAAAAAGTAATTATAAGAAATTTATATTTCGCATGAGAAAGATATAAGAAAAAAATTGGTATAATTTAGAGATCAATATTAGAGAAGGCTTAAGGTGTCAAAGGATTAATATTTTTATAGACCAAAATATTAATTTTCATAAAAATCTTCATTAGAAGTATGCATTTTATTTTTTGCATAATTGCTCATAAAAAGATTGATTGAATGAGATAAACATATTAACAATTTTATTTTATTAGTGTGCAAAGTCAAAACATAAAATATAAAATATTGATTACATTGCATAAATTTATGCAGATATTGAAATTGACTCTACAATTGGATTTAATAAATTGTATTATATTTATTTGAAAAATCAATATTTATAAAAACTATGATGAAAAATAACCCGAAAACATAAAAAAGAAATACATGAATTATTTATGATTAAAAGAATTATTACTTGTTATCAAGTAACGAATTAAATTAGGTTCTAATAGAATAACGGATTGTTTAATTGTCATATCTTAATTATATATAGAACAAGCAAATTATCCCATAGTTTCTATGAAAACAATTAGAAATGGGTAAAGAAATTTACCGTGAGAAATTAGATGCAAGTAGAGAATATATGTAGAAAATAAAATTGGCTACAAGATTAGTATTATTATTAAATCATGGCACTAAAATTGATATAATAAGTTGAGTCAAGCTATTTGTATGATTCTATCTTTGTTGATCATTTATAAATCAAATGTTCATATATATAATTTATTATTGGTTTAAATTTTGACTAGTATTTAATTTTCATGAAAACCAATTAAAATTAAATTGATATATATGAATAATTATTATTAAGATATGTTGTTTCATAGATTAATTAGTGGATAATAAATCAAATAATGGTTATTATCAGAAACATGGGCAGTGTGATATGTATTTTACCTGCTAGGTGTATTACATTAGAAGTAATTTTACAAAATAAAATTTTATTGTGAACAATCACAAAGTGAAAATCATAAAAAGCCATTAAAGAGTTAATTAATGGTTACAAAAAAGTATTGTTACTTTTTGCACATAGGATATTGATTAAACAAAAAGGCATGCCATTAAAAAATATTGAAGCATTTGTTGGTTACTAGCATTTTGAAGGATGCTTATCAATGTCTAATTAGGCATGTTTATAAATTAGAAAAGAAAATGCAAATTCAATGTTCCAAAGGCACCAATACATGCATGTGTTTAATTCCATTTTGTGATGGCATTGAGAACATTAGTATAATTTGCCATATATTATGAAAATGAATTGAATGGGATGTGATTTTTTTTCTTATACATATAAGAAAGATATAGAGTATGAAGATAGAATGCCATCATCTAATTAATATATTATTGGTTAAAGACAATGAAGATATTTTTACTTATTGTACCCAAAAAAAAGGCTTTTTGTAGGCTATTAAAATGAAAAGTGAACAAGTTTTCGAAGTTTTCAATAATTTCATGACAATGGCAAGGATATGGTTAGTTATATACCATATTAACATATGGACTTAAATAATAATATTGGTTTGTGAAAGCTGTAAGCCTTAGAGTTAGCTAATCAATGATTTAATCAATATAAATTCATCAAGAATTTTTGCATAAAATATAAGTAGAACTCATATTATAATTATTGTTTATACTATTTTATGAAAATAATTCTTTGAATTCATGTCTCATGACTTGCAATGATATAGTGATTTAGATATGAACATATTGGCATCAAAATGATTGTGAAAGTATTTAAAATTGGAGTTAAATATACTATGGACTCTTATTGTATAGAGGCATGTTGATCTTATGAGTAAAGTTTGAATTTATTATATATCTAAAAACGTTATGACCAATTAAAAGTGGTAAATAACAAAGATATATAGGCTACACAATGGTGAAGAAATAAAGTTCTCATAAAATTTTGAAATCAAGTTTAGAGATTTCAATAATCATGAACTTGGAATTGGCCATTGGGCAATTACTATATGCATTAAAACTCTTGTTAACATTTGATATAGTTGGTTTTCACTAAAAGCCATCATTATAAATGAGATAACTTTAATAGCCAAATCTATATGATTTGTAGGTATTAGGTGGATTATTATCGTTCGCTTGGAATAGCCATAAGCCAAAATTGATGCCATAATCTTGATCACGTTGTGATAATTTTTTGTTATATATATGGTCTAATTCATGGATTGTACAAATGATTTATCATCTATGGTTTTATATAGTAAAAATTTTAAAGTATATTTACTTTGGAAGCCATGAGTGATTCAAAAATCTTGTGAATTTGAAAACTTTTATAATAGCAAAAAGAATGCTATTTGATCTATTTGGGTGATGGAAATGGTTTTGTTCATGGTAATAAAAAAAATATTAATAGTGTCCATAATGAAATAAATTCATATAAATATTTATGAATTGACATAAAAGTCTTAAAAAGAGACTGTAGAAATATGATTATATTTGAAATCTGTTATTGATATAAACTCTTATATTAAGTTAAAATCTAAAAGTTTTGAAACTTTTATTGAAATATTAAGATATCAGCTAGTTAGTTTTCACTAAGAATGAATTTAGAGGCTTTCTACTTGAAAAAAATACCAAATAGTGAAATAATAAATGAAATGACAACTTGATTAAATATGTATGATATCTTGATAATTGAATGAGATATTCTTTAATAAAAAATTGCATACTTGCACATGGGAAGGGTGATAAGAATCAAAAGAAATAAAAATTGAAACCATAGTGTTGCAAGATTTTAGTATAATTTTATGAGCAAATTATACAAGCTAATAAGTTTAGACACTTATTAAAGTAAAGTCATAAAAAGGTCTTTAAAAATCTTAAAAGACTAAAATTATTTGGTTTGTTCATTGAGTTTATCTAATTGTACCAGAAGTATAATTGTATTAAAAATTTATAAAAGTATGAAAATAGAATGGTAGAAATTAATAAATATAGAGTTATGGCCACAACCAAAACCAACTATTTCTAAAATAATAAGAACAAGGCAACAATGTCTAGAGCATATAAATAATATGCAAAATGAAAAGTTTGGATATATTAGTCTTAAGTGATAGTATTAGAGATTTAATCTCAAGTGGGGGTAATTACTATAAAAAAATTGAATTTCAAGATATTTGGTTAATAGTACAACAAGTAGAAGGGATTTAAACCTTTACTATTAGACTCCAATAATGGGAACCCAAGTTTGAATTAGTAACCTCTAATTACAAAGTTTAATAAGTAAAAATAAGTTATTGTTATGTATCTGTTAAACACTAGTAAAATTCATTTAAATTTTAGACACTAGTGTGATCCATTGTGTGGGGATGATGAGTTTTATACTCTTAACTGAGTTTTAAATGTCTAAAGCAATAGAGATAAAATGAAAACTCTATCTATATAAACATAGAAGTGGTGCTGCTTCAACAAAAAGAATCGGGTCTACTTGTAAATATTTTTGAATAGGATAAGCACATGACCATAATAATACTAAAAGTGGTTATAAACCTTTAACAAAAGAGTAAATAAGTATTATGTGTGTTATATCTTTAATTCTAACACTAGGAGTTGAAGTTTAATCTGCAAACATAATGAATTTTATTAGAATTCTAAGATATATATATATATATATATATATACAATAATTGAAAGTTTATATCGAAAGATACCTTCTTGTATTCATAATATTTATTTGTGTGAAAGGTAAAAATTAAGCACCAACATTCCAAACTAATGGGAAATTGTTAGTAA